TACATCTTTATACATACTTACTGTGTGGAGCTTGAGCAGAGGCATCTGGATACTGTAACAGGAGTGTGAAACATCAAAGTGTGTCTTCTTTGTCTGCCCCTTCAATTGTATAGTGTCACTAATAACACTCTAAGGGGAAGTTAATTCTACAAGGATCCACATTTGACTTAAAAATAATAAATGCACCCGCAACCCTGTTGGGAAGAAGCGCTTTAGAAAAGGATGGATGGATGGATAGAACAATGAAGGTAAGCTCCCCAGCAGAACCAGTAGATGTCAGCAGAATGCTGTCACAAGTCCTCTTAACCCATCAAGTCAGCAGTAGTGTGGTGGCTTTCATTTCAGTAGTGCCTTTCATTTCTTGAGCATCTTGAGAAAATGTCATTTTATTCCACATCAGATCATTTTAAAGTCAAAAGCTCATTAGCATTTGAGACTGACTATGTTGACAGATTTGGACCTCATGGGGTATCTCAGAATGGAGAGGCAAATAAATCTCCCCTTCCCTCTGTAAGGTGGCTCTTCAGCTCTACACTATTAAAGATATCAAAGTACGTTATGTTGACTAATGGTCAGGACTGTAACCTTTACGGTACTTATTTATGGGCTCTCCATGAAAGCTCAACTCCTGTAGACCTTAGGCTTTTATTTTGGTTGGTGCTCTGGGAGCTTTAGGCCGATTTGGCTGCAACACTTTACAGCATTATTCACTAATGCTAATAGGGACATGTCACTCCCCAGCCATATTCCAACTCTACTGAGGGCATTCCCAGGATGCAGAAGCTCCAGATCTGCCCCACAGTCTTGTCCTGGATGGACACATTTGACAGGCTGTCAAAGGGAGGTCAAAGATGCTAAAAAAAACACCTCAACTGATACCTTTCAGTTCAATTCAACTTATTTCTGTTGGACAAATCAGAACAAAAGTGTCTAAAGCTACCTCAAAGAAACGATCCAGTCGGTCAAGCCACCGAGAGGCTCATTTATTCTATTGGATTCATGACCCATCCCAATAGAATGCTTTGCATTCCGATTTGGGCCGATTCATACTTTGCAGCATGGAATGGGATGTTTCTGGTATTTTATTTGGCGCTTCAAGTGGAAATATGTCCTCAGACAGATATTGTTTGAGGTTATGAAGCTATTGTTTTTGAGTGATGCAAATGCTGAGCTTCACACCTTTGAGACATTTCATCAAGTTCTTTCCTCATCAATACAGCATCCAGCTATGAGCTCTTTGGAGAGGATGGAGCTGCTCAGTCAGACTTTAGATGAGAGCAGCAGAATTTTAGGTTCTGTTCTGGATCTAACAGGGAAACAGAAACTAGAGGAATCTGATCTCAGCAGGTGCTCAGCAGAAGTTTGACTGCTATACTTTGGATATAGTGAAGTCTTCTCAAAGATTTGAGTAGGAACATCTATCTTTCCATCTTCTGTACCACTTCTTCCCAACGGGGTCACAGGGGGCTGGAGCCCATCCCAGCGAGAGGCGGGATACCCTGGAAAGGTCAGCAGTCCATCACAGAGGGTCAGAACCACTGGTCTGGTTCTGGGTGGTGAGCTAGCCCCTGTTGGTTGCAGTGTGTCCCTGACTTCTGAGTCATGTCCAGTCCCCCTTGACCGGACCTTGGTACCTGCAGATGTGTCCAGGGCCGCGGACTCGTTGGGGAGGGATGTGGTCACTGTGGCTGGTGTTCCTAATCCTGCGGGGGCAGCTGTGGAGCTTACACAAGGCTTGCACATGGAGGACTTATATCTAAGTGACTTAAAGGATGTGGGTTTAAACCATTCTCCTCTTCCCGGGGCAGAGAGGCCAGAGTCTTTCCCCAAACTACCCCAGACTAGCAAAAAGGAGTCACATCATCTAAGTAAAACATTTTGCACGATTACTCAGATGAACACATGGCCAAGATTGGTCAAGTATAGGTGGGTTGGTACCATGATACCACCTGCCATGAGCATCACAGCCTAAAGGCCTTCTCAATTACAATTAGACATAAGTCATACAAGTGCCATTTCTATTTCCATCACCATCAACTCGCTCTAGAAATTCGACAAAGTCCAACCTTTGAGGAGGCAATTCCAAATAATGAACTACTTCACACATCCCATCATTTTCTTACCCATTTATACTAAGTAGATTGGGATCAGAACCCTCACATAATATGTGAAATTCCAGATAGTGTGTCTTTTCAGAGATAAATGCTGGCATACAAATTTGGAAGATTGAAAAACAGAACAGCAGAGGGACCTAAGAATTGCAGTGAAGAGCAGGATGTGACTCTTTGCATTTGTTGGGCTACTTGTACCCCACTGCATCAACCAAAAGCCAGCAGGCCTGAATCTCATTATTATTACTGACAAAAATATGACCGTAGCACTGAATATCTTTTTCAAATGACCCAAATCCTTTCTCTTATCTTTCCAGTAACCAAATCCTGTACTAAGCTTTATATTAGTAATCATCTGGAGGAAGTACCATGTTTGTGTATATGATCGATCAGCTGTCACACCAACATCGCTCTGACTTTGGTTTTCAGAAAATACCATAATGCTTTCATAGTTAGTTTGGGGAAAACTTTTAAGTTTTCATTACTGAGGATGAAAATCTACATGCTATGCATGCTACTCTGTTGTCACACTCCTCCACGCTGTGTTCTGGGGCCCGGAAAGTCAAACTGTTTCCTCTATCCTCAGTATTATTCATTAATGCAGCTGAAACTTCAAGGCAAAAGACTGACTCATGCTTCTCTATGACTGGCTTTTGTGTATCGCTGGTGGCAGAGCCCAAAGAACTAATTATCCTTAAAAGGACATTCTGCTGTGTCTGGGAAGCCCAGTTTGAAATGATGAAAAAGGAAACAAAAATGAATAGTTTTAGAAGTCTGTTTACATGCAAAACTATCACGCCCCAGGTAATTAGAGAGATCTGCACAAATGGGAAGGGCATCCAGTTTGAGCCATGAATGACCCTGATAGTAGACATTTGGGTTTCTTTATTCCTATTTATATTAGGTCCATATGATATTAAAAACTATAAGCACGTTTATATTATGTAATGGTTCAGAAAAAGTATATTTTGACAATCGAGATATATAAACACTACTGAAAAATGACTCTCATCTCAGCTGAATGGCTTTTTAGACCAACAATTATATAAACATTCGCTCTTTCTGATTTTATTTCCCCTTCAACTGGTGACCAAATAAATATATGAAATAAATGTAATGTGATATCATATGATATCATCCTTTTTCTGTGGTTGTGAGAGGAGCTAGATTAACTAACAGTGCAGTTAGTAAGTGTCTAACCTTCTTTTGAGTGGATGACTTAGGAGTCCAGCGAGGTTAACATGTGAACTTTAGTAAATGACATGAAGTAACACAAAGCTGTATTCTGTTTTGTGGCGCAATTTGTGTATGCACCACACTCCATGCAGAGATGTGAGGTCAATGAGCTCATCTCCATCCAGTCTGTTATCAGATACAGCCCATTGTTCCAGTATTTGGTGACAAAGAGACGCAACAATGCAAAAGGTGAGCTGGAATACTCTCCCCTGATCACTGATGAGGATGACGAGGGCCAAGTCACTTCTCTAGGATCAGGGGTGTCTTAAGAAACTGCTGCGTGAAAGTGAACTCTTCTGTCAGGTTTCTGGGGCGGATCATGGAGGGAATAGGAGTGATGGCTGATGTGGACATGGTTACAGCAGTCCCCAACATGAGGAAGCCCACAGACGTCGGTGGGGTCAGAAGATTCCTCAGCTGGGAAAACACTTTCCTCCCCTGGCTCTGAAGACAAAACCTCTGACTCAACTGATGGGCCTGAAAACCATGTGGACATGTGGAAAAGCACCAACGTGCCTGTAGCATGAAGAGGGAGCTGAGCATACCACCAGGGCTAACAATTCACAAGCACAGTCCACAGTCTGAGCCGATGCTTCCTCATACGGATGGTGTATTTTCACATAGAAACAGAGGTCCTGTCTCCCAGCAACAGAGCAAAGGCTGCAACAGGTCCAGATGAGGAACTAAAACAGGCCAAATCGTACCTGTACAGGGCAGCCAGAACTAGGACTATACTAGGACCATGTTGTTCAAGCTGCCGCGGATCTAACTGAAAGATGGCTGGTTCTGAGAGGCTTGCTTCTTGTGATCCCAGGGTTACTGCAGAAAGACTTGGAGAAGTTTCCCACAGGTTGTCCAGGCATAACAAAGGAGTTGTAATTTTTCCTGTTTCCACGCTTATTTTTAGTTGTACTTTTTCCTGTGTTTGGTGATTTTTAGTTGTACTGTTTATTGTTTCCACAGTGATTTTTAGTTGTACTATTTATTGTTTCCACAGTGATTTTTAGTTGTACTATTTATTGTTTCCACAGTGATTTTTAGATGTCATTTAGTTGTCCCATATTGAAACACCAAGAAGAAATCTGCAGCCAAGTGCTTGTGAGAAGCCAATGGACTCACAGAGCCTGGGTTTGTGAGAAACATAACAGAAGGTAGTAACAGGAGTTCCTCCAACACCACCGAAATCTTCCAAGGTACCTTAGAGACTTTAAAAGAGGTAGAACGTACTCCCAAGTGTCTGAGGGATCCACCCAGGACTGAATAATCCCTTCACTCAACTGAAGGTTGAGTTGAAGATTACTAGTTGAAATAAGTGTGATAGAGAGCCAGTATGTGGAGATGGAAATGTCAATGTTGTTCGAATATAACACTGTGAGAACAATAGTTAGACAAAAGGAGATTAGATGTGCAGAAATGTGAGCTTTAGTAATGTTATTGACTTAGAAGGGGATGTAGTGTCAGTGTTTGAGCCAGTGGAGATGCACAATACTGCCATGCAGAGGGGAAAAGCTTCAAATAAAAACTCTGCTAAAAGATTTACTTTACTGTAAAAAAGATGGCTTTTGCAGATTGGGTTTTTCATGCGTTTTCATTTTTTAATCTGAGTTTTTGTAATGCAAGGAACACAAAATGTAAACAAAAGAGAATTCATGATCCTCCTTTAATTCATAGTTGTGTTTTTCAGATAACCACAACAACATCAATCATTTCCATAAGCATAAAAAAGTTGCATTCCCACAGATAGAAAGAATAACACTGTTCTTGGTGTGGTCTGAACGATAAATGCACAAAATAACCCCTGTACAGTGGTGTTTTGTCCATGATCCTTTTTGCTGCCCGTCCGTGAGTTATCACCTCATTTCTCCATTTCAAAATAAATGGAGAAATGTGTAAATAAATCCTGCTAATAACCTGATTTTGCAGGCGAGAGAACAATTGGGAGATCATAAATGATGGAAAATGGCAGCATAGATTCTGTTTATAGAGCTGTACAGCTCACTTACTGACGGCTAACGGTGGGATGCTCACATGCAGCAAAAAGCATCACACTTAACCGGCTGATCACCAAGAACTGCATGGAGAAAATGAAACTCATGGAAGACATTTTGACACACCATGAGTTGATAAACACAAGAGGAAGTGATTTCATTATGCCTATGCTTCAGTTCTATTCAGTAACCCAAGAAACCATAACAACAAGCTTGTGCAAGTAGAATATAACAATAATATTACAAATAATACATTTCCTCCCTCCTCCGTAACAAACTGAAATGTTTGCTATGACGAGAGACGCAGTCAAGATTCCAGACATTAAGCTTTAAACATACCACCTCACTGTGACTGTCCCACTTTGCCTCATACCTGAGATAAATGGCTCCAGGCTTCTATTCAGGTGTGAATGGAGATTCACTTATCCAGTACTACTTCAATATTTAACGCACAAAAACACACAACATGATGCAAAAACAGGTGGTTAGCAACAAACCATGACATCTGATGTCAATCACTTCGGTAAATGGTGGAACTCCAGAAGTGATGTGGCTGTTAACACAGGGTGTGATGACCAGCTCACTTCCTTTTATAGTCAGTCTGTTTCTGTAGAGCTGACAGCTGCATGGGAGAGTGTCGAGCAAAGAGAGGGTGTTGAAGTATGACTGATGCATGGTTGACAGATTGGGGGTATTTTCCATACTTTGACAAGAGCCTCTCCTACTTCCAATCCAGTCCAAATGTGATCATGAACTCCAGCGCAGTATAACGAATGGAGACCAATGTTCTAAAATCAAATAAATAAGGCAAAAATGCACACTCAGCAGTACACACACCAGTAGATCAGGTTGAACAAGATGTAGGCGCCTGGAAATATCATGCGAGAGTAAGTGTCAATCGTGTGGGTATTTTGGATAATCCGGAAGCCCCGAATGCCCTTCTTCTTGGTCCCCGTGGACTCGTTGTCCAGAGCAAGATGTACCACCATCCTCTCCTGTTTGTCTGAGGAATCATCCGCCGCCATGGAGCCTCTGGTGTAGCCCGCCAAGCTGTTCACGTCCGCCTCACTGTACGTTCCATCCATCATCATGGTCTTGGTGTGGGGCATGTCACAGGTGCAGGAGAGGGTTTGTGACTGGGTGAGAGACAGGAAAGAAATCAATACAGAGCTCCAAAGCTGCCCCCATCTTTTGTATTTAGTAGGGGTTCCTGATAATGAGCATACCTGTTGCCTCATTCTTTCCCTGAGCTTGCGATCTTTCCCGTCTCTGACGGTTGTCAGGTAGTTGACAGCTGCATATTCCAGCACGGAGAGGAAGACGAAGACAAAACTGACCCAGAGGTAAATGTCCACAGCTTTGATGTATGAGACCCTGGGCATGGAGGCGTTTACTCCAGTGATGATGGTGGACATTGTGAGCACTGTGGTTATTCCTGGAGCAAAAGGAATACACAGTAGAGTCCCTTACTATCACAGCAGTCATGGGCTTTATAGAAAATATGACAGAATGTCTCATTCTCATACAGAAACCTATTCTTTTCCTTTTTTAAAGTCTCAGGATTGCACTCAGATGTGCAGATATTTTTAGGCACATCAAGCAAGTTCATATGTACACACAAGAGCTTTGCAAAGGCATGGCCAGCAAATGAAGTCACTTAGAGAGTGAAAACAATCTAAATGCAGAACTGAGCAGTGGAATTGGTAAAACAGTAGTTTCCAGTTTAACTTTATATGTGTCTGGAGTCCAGAGGGGTACATTGAAGCCCAACAACTGACCCTTGAGGGACTCCACAGGTCAGTGGAATAAGCTCAGATTTATTCCAGCCAATGGAAACAAGCTCCTGCCTTCAAGAAATGATCTGAGCGACTGAGAACTGACCCCCCCACCCATTTAAGACTCAGTGCTGTCTCTGTGCTACATAAGATCCCAGTTGGATAGCAGTTATCCCACACAAACCTGCATTATGTGAAAATGCATCACATCCTTTCTAAGAATCTGTACTAATGTTATGCACAGGGAGCTTTTCAACGGCACATTTTATATGATAAATGTTCCACACTTACTTAGCAAGGCTCTGTCAGGCACTTTCCAAAAAGTCTGTCTTCAACTTATCACACACACATCATGCTGTCCTAATGCTTTGTGTGCAGTGTGTGTCTCTACCATGCACACACTCACACTTCTGAAGCACTAGATATGCTCATGCTGTCTTCATAAAAAATGGCTGAAGAAAATGTAGAGCAGTCAGTGACTCTTTAAGAGGACTTTGCAGAGTATTCTATTTGTGTACAAAGTACTATGGACTGATTATATGTTATGCAAGCATCACGCTGCTGATCCTACAGAGTTTTATTAAAAAGTGACAGACTCTGAATTCATTCGGATCATTTGTGGTAGCCATGAGAAGATTGTAAATTGTGACAAAGAGGGAGGGTGCAGGGTTACTTCATCTTTATCAAGTGCTCAGCTAACCACATCACATGCCTGAAAAGAGCAATCCACTGCATTCTCCTCTGCTTCTCTGCATTGTGAAACAACAAGTTAAGGAGAGAAACCCAGACTTCAGATCAGCAAAAGCCAATGTCTAAAAGAATACCTTACCTTCCCTTTGACAGGTTGGTTCCTCTGGCGGTCTTTTGTCCACTGATGCACTAAAGCATTGAACATCTAATCTGAGCAGAATTGTCTTACCTAATGAGACTCTGGCGGGGACAGCCCGGCGGTCGATCCAGAAGGATACCCAGGACAGCATGACCATCAGAGTGGCGGGGAAGTAGGTCTGCAGCAGGAAGAAGAAGATGTGCCGCCGCAGAGTGAAGTTGATGTACAGACGGTTGTACCAGCCTGGAGACACAGGAAGAGATTGGCCGGTTGTCACAAGTTAGTTTCAAGACAAAGGACTAATGCGTTGAGAAACCAGGAATAATACAGGATGAGACAAACAATTGGTAGATGGTGGAATGTAGAGACCAGGCTCTTATCCAGGATCAGTAGATAAAGGAATCTGACACAGCAGACTACAGCTAACAGAAGGTGAATATTAGTGCTACTGAGCTTGTCGTGTGGTATGATCCATGTTATGAGAAGTGTTGAGCTTCATTCAAAATACAGACTAAATGAAATTCCTGGGGGATTCTTTTCTGAGTGGTAGTTTATAAACCAGTCATCTGTCTTTGGTATATTAATGACCTCTTGGAGGAGCGCTAAGACCCTGAGCCTTACAGTTAGATGTCATCCAGCTAAAGATACTCATTTTTTAACAATATTGGATTTGTTGGGCTTCTGTAATTAACTTCAGAGTAGGTCTGACCTGCTCTGTTTGGAAAGCTGTGAGATAACTGTTGTTGTGATGTGGCGCTATAGAAATAAAATTGAATTGAATTGAATTGAACATTGTCTTCTCTGTTGTGATAAAGATTTTTTCCTATGAGGATAACCAGAGTGGATAAAAAGAAGGTCTCCTTTGGACAAGCATTTTTGGAGTGAACATCTTAGATGGACCGTTCAAGTGACAGATAGTCAATTTAAGTGACTTTTAGAATCTAACTCTCACAAAAGTAATACCAGGTGAGAGTTTTCTTCTTCTTTTTCACAGCAAATGTCAGTAAATAGGAAAACAGGTGTGTATCATAAAGGGCCCCAAAGTCCCCTTTATTGTCAAAATGATTTCCCTTTGTTGTTATTTTTATTTGTTACTATGTAAGAGTTATTCTCAGTGGGACTAGCCAATATAGCATAATGCCAATTCCCATAGCTGCAAAAAGTGTGTTGACCAAGACTACGTTAGTCCTAAAAAATGTTCAGCTTCAAACGGTGTGAGACTGTGTTAAAACAAAACATTATAAATCATCTGCAATCTGCAACAAAGCTGCAACTCACTGCGTTCCAGCCCTGATGGATGGATCTCAGGGGTTAGTTACGTTCAACAAAATCTTTATTTCGAGAGGGCCAAATCGCAACAACTATCATCTCCAGGCTCTTTAAAGATACAATCCAATTCAAGCCTGTAAGAATCCGGCGATTTGTAATATAGTCATATTCCGATCACTTTCAGTTCAATACCTTCCCAATTAGAACAGTTCATACAGAACCAGTAAACCCTAAAATGCCATATGTATCATATCTGATTAATAAAGTTTCTGAAATCTTTTGCATCTGAGACCTTTTGCATCTTTTAATGTTAAAAACGTTGCTCAACACCCTGTTGTACCTTTTGTAGATAGACCTGTTAACAGCAGGCAGAAGAATACACCACAATAATTTAGACTTATTGCATGCTAATAAATGATGAATATTCCAAAGTAATTCTGTTTTTTTTAAATATTTTGTAAAAGGGCCAAATAAAGATTTCAAACAAACAAAAAATCTCTCTATCTTCTACTGGATGAGGCTTTAAAGGTTTAATAGAAGAAGACTGTATCCCCCACAAGCTGGGCCCAGACAAGCAGGAGAGAATGGGGGGATTGGCAGACCCGCTGATGTTCATTTAATGCTGCTAGCCCTGGGTTTTAGAATCATGTCAGCACTGGAAAACACGAGCACACTTTGTTTTGCTTATCGACCTGTGCTGCTGTAGAACGCCAGTCTTGAGGTGGTGTGAAACTTCTGAATGAGGAACTGAGACAGAGAAATTCTGTCATCTGTGCTGAGGGACTCATCTCCACTTTTCCAATACAGCATCAGGTCCTCGTCAGTGTAAGCATCTGAGGGACAGAAAGCCCAGTGAGTCCACAGACTGGTCTGAGACAGTTTAGCTCTTGAATCAAAGTTGTCAGTTTTCAACCAGTGGCAAATGGAAGCAAAGGAACTAAATTAACTAAAAAGCTCAGCTAGAAAAAAGAGCATGTTGTTGTATTTCATGAAAGGACATAGGGACATTTAACATACATGCACCTCCCTCGTACAAATAACTGAATCTTTAAAAGGATGCCTTTCAATCAGTGAAAAACTCTTACGGTTTAGAGTCATTATTGTCACACGCGCACAATCGTACAGCATACACAGCAGAAAGGGGACACATATCAGAGAAACAATAAATACCCAAATAGAAAAAGGCATTGAGAGACAGCAGGCAGAGTATGGCTCTTTTAAAGGGACGGTAGCCTCAGAGCAGGAGGCACTGATCAGAGTCGGCTTTTTCTTCTCATACATGAGCGGGGTCCCTCCAGGTACCCTGGCCTGTTTGGTTTTTAGTATTGGATTTAAATCAGCCCCAGGAGAGAGTGGAGGTTTGGAGTTGATGCTTGTTTCTTCTGTGGTGTGAGAAGGTGTGCCCCTCTGAGACCCTGACTGGATTACAGTCATGGACGGGTGGACATCCATAAACATTAGCCATAGCTTAGGTCCCTATGTCCTTTAAAGCAGTGTTTTTCAACCCCTGGTCCTCGGTACACTAGTGTGCCGTTAGTGATGGTCAGGTGTAGAAATTCATCCTATTTCACCTCATTGGTCTAAAAAGATTTTTTGATAAGGAATTAATTTTCTGCAAATAATATGCCATTTTTGAGTGTCTGTGCTGTTCTAGTGACTGGTGGCCTAATCATGTAATAATTCCTTATGACTAGATTTTGTATTTAATTTTGTATATTGAAGTAGACATGTTAAGTGCAATTTGAAAGAAGAAATATAAAATATGATAAAAATACATTTTTGTGTTTGTTTGATTCCTATTCAAGACACTTAAGATAAGAATAAAATAAGAATAACTATAGTGTTACTATAGGCGGCTACAGATTTGTTTAACATTTTTGGTTGGTGGTGTGCCTCGAGATTTTTTCATTGAAAAACTGTACCTTGGCTCAAAAAAGGTTGAAAAACACTGCTTTAAAGACATCAATCTTTGCAAAAGTGGAGAGAGTTTCAGTTGTGTGGCAGGAGTGAAACTCCAGATCCTCTCCCTGCTGATGGTGTGTGAATGTGGCTAAAGAGGGTGTATGCATGCTGAATGAGTGTGTGAGGGCATGGGTGAATGTGTTGGCTCACAAAGAGGCACTTTAAGTGGTGACCTGGACTAGAAAAAGCGCTATTTAAATCCAATCCATTTACCTTTTACTTCACATTTAATGTTAGAGACTCTCTGAAACAAGAGGAAGGTTGACTTTAAAGATGCTGGTAAGCAGATCATTTATTCATTTTATCAATGTGAAGGGAATTTTTGGAGTAAACGTCACAGCAGGTTCAAGCAAAAAGCTTCATCTATCCAATTTATAACTATAGAAACAGAACAATGTCAGGCAGAAGGAACACTTACAGCTCTCCAACTCCAGGGTGCATGTTTGTGAGTCCAGCGGGAAACGACTGAAATCCATGTTGCATGCAGCTGTGACTGTAACCCTGTGAAGAAGAGCAGAGTCATCATCAGCAGCTCTTCTGGGAGCAACCTAGCATCAATGTGTGTGTTCTCACCTCAGGCTGTACAGAACATGACCATCGGGGAAGACTCTCAACATTATGTTGTCAGTTGTGGTATCATGGATAAAGGACCTCTTGGAATGGACAAAGAACACATCAGGCACCCATATTTTTTTCACCAGGCGACCATCAAAGGTCATGCTCTTGTTGGTAGCACTAGGGAAGGCCAACCTCTCATCTTTCCAGTAGTGCCTCAAATACAGAGTCATGGTGAAGTCCTGAGGGAACAGGGGGAGGGTGGACAGAAACAGCCTCTGGATTAAGTGTCACTATGGGACACTACTTGCTTGCCTCCTCTGGTTTATTGAATTCCTCTAGGATTACAGCCATGTGGCACGTGGCAGCTGGATTATTTGGATTGTTTACGAATAAATGTAGACAGTCAACAGAAGTGTCTGACACGTAATTCCGAGCTGCTAAACGCCCCGTCCCTTTGCCTCCGCTCTCTTCCGGCTCTCCCTGCAGGGGATGTCCTCCTCCAGCACTGTTCTAGCCCTGTTCCAGCCCTATTCCAGTCCTGCTCCAGTCCTGCTCCAGTCCTGCTCCAGTCCTGTTCCAGTCCTGCTCCAGCCCTGCTCCAGCCCTCCTACAGTCCTCCTCCAGTCCTGCTCCAGTCCTCCTCCAGCCCTATTCCAGCCCTATTCCAGTCCTGCTCCTCCTCCAGCCCTCCTCCAGTCCTGCTCCAGCCCTAATGTCCTATTCCAGTCCTGCTCCTGCTCCAGTCCTGCTCCAGCCCTAATGTCCTGTTCCTGCTCCAGTCCTATTCCAGCCCTGCTCCTGCTCCAGTCCTATTCCAGTCCTCCTCCAGTCCTCCTCCAGTTCTGCTCCAGTCCTGCTCCAGTCCTTCTCCAGTCCTGCTATAGTCCTCCTC